GTAAAAAAAAAAAAAAGGAAACGACTAGTAAAGGTTATATTAAGTTTGTGTACAAAAGACTGTGATTTTTTTATTATGCAGATAAATACCTCTAATAATCGAATAGCACCATAAAATAATATCTTACAGATAATGTTTGACAAAATAAAAAAAAATGCCTTGCTATGGCACTTTAAAATGTCTCACAGAGATTTAAATGCCCTGTGCCTAGCATCAGCAAGCTTTTATATTTGTTAATATTAACTTCTTAAAAAAGACCTCATAATTGTAATACATTTAGAGGGACCTTAAATGAACATATTTTTAAAATTTGAAAAGTCTTTGATACGTTCATAACACTAAGAATACCAAATTCTCATAATGACATGCATGTTGTGTTAATATTTTACACTCTCGTTTGTGAGCAAGTTGAATTCTAAAAATAACCCATCAAACTGCTCTAAAATTGATATGTCTAATGGCTATTTACAAATGATACATGATAATAAAAATAATGTAATAGCAAATAATTGCTAGTTTTTGCTACAGAAGATGGAAAACCAAATTCGGACCCAACATCCATTCCAGACAGCTAATTTCAACTGCTGAAAAATCTGTCTTTAAGAATGCCCACAAAGTACTCTTCTGTTTTTAATAGGAATTCTTTATACCAGTTCAAAACCCTTGTTCTTCTTTCAATAACCTTGGATATTGACATTTTTTGTTCGGCTTTTAATATGTCAGGTAGTTCTTCCCATTTTTTGACATATATAACTGGGGCATCGTGTTCTTTTAATAATTGTAATGGTGCATTGTGGGATACCTTGGATTTCCCACAATTCCCTGGTGTCATGACATCCTCCACAACAGGCACAGAGCCCATTGATAACGCTTCATAAATTCTGTAACATTCTGTATTTTTCCCCACTGGGTTGAGGGTGAGATCGCTCGTCTTTAATGCTTGGATAAAATCCTGTCTTGTATCTTCTGACTCTAGGGGGAGCCACCTGCAAACATCACCAGATTTTAGTTTAAGTCTTAACACATGGGATTTAAGAAGAAATACAAAACAACACTTCAAGAAGTGGTAGTACAGTTAAACCAGGTTGAGGTTGTTGAAGAAAAAAGACAAAAATTCATGCCTTAAAGATGTGTTTTAGTGTAAGCTTAACAGATGCACACAAGAGCAGCAATTTAACTCTATCCAAAATACACAAATCAAGTGCTTCAGTCATGATATTCCCAAGCAAAACAAATTTCACCTGAACTTTCAAAACAAAAATACATTTGTACTATAGTAATTCAACACATTCACAAAACAAACACAGTAAACAATTTCAGTAACCATTTTCCACCCATTTTCTTAAATATTTCATAACATCAAAATAATTTATGACAGACTTACTCATATCTGGGCTTGAGGTAGCATAAGTTACCCATGTTGTGAGCAGTCAGAATTTTCATCAAAGTTTCTCTGGAAGAATTAGGGTACACAGTGCCCAAAAAGTTACATATATATTGCCTCGGTTTCATTGCATTGATTATTGTGTCCCTAAACTTTGGAAAACCTCTGTACCTGAAATGGAAGAAAGAAATGTTATCATATCATTTCATAGAGCTTCACCATTAATTAAACATACATAGTTGTTGTCACTTTAAATCTCAAAATATGCACTTTGTGAGCATGACATGAGAAAGGCAGCAAATGCATCATGTTTTGTATAAACTTCAAATATGTCAGTCTCAGATAATCAGTGTAATTAGTATGTTTTTTTTTATCTTAATTTACTTACATACCTTTTAAATCAGTCAAACAATCAACCAGCACTGGTACTCTATAATTATGATTAAATATTCTATTCTTTGTCTGATCACTCACGTAGCGACACCTAGTGGCCACTGGTAGAAGTTCACATTGTCCACATCTGGACTATCATAAACAAGAAACACCAGCTTCACCAGTCCTCCATTCTGAACTAAATACGGCTTGATCCACTCATTATCACACTGCTCATTGCCCAAGAGTATCACAGCTACATTCTTCAACTTTTCAAAAGTTGACAACGAATCGAGCCAAATCTTGGCAAAGTCTATTTTGGACTGTTCCCGTCCATTGAGAACAAGGACTAGGTTTTCAACATCCTTGGGGGCTTTGTGAGGGACAACCCCTGGTCCAGTCCTAAACCTGGCATGGGGAGACAAAATTTGGGAAAATGTAAACATTCGCTACCCTGGCAGTCTGAACTGTTACCAGTTAAAAACTTAAAACTAAAAGCATTAACATTCATTTCGGACAGTGTTTTGAGCAAAAATGCATATACAGTGTAATTCATCTAAATATCAATTAAAACAGAAATCATATTATGTAACATTATATTTACCACATCAAATATACATTCTATAACAACTGAATCAAAAAAGTTATAAAAAATAACATTTTCTAGTAGTCATATTACAAAATGAAAGAATACCACACTAAAATAATTTAGTGACAATAATCCCTTTTAGAGAAGTGCAATTCTTCAAATCACCTAAAAATGAGATTCTGTATTCGCTTGCTGCCATATTGCCAGACTCCTCCCAACCTGTCCTCCAAGGTACTGTTCATGATGTGCTCCCACAGGTACAGACCTGAAACATTAGTCTGGCATTAAATTTAAACTGTCACTTATCTTTTTCTCTCAATAAATGGATAACTGTAACAATAATTTTCACAGAAGTCTGTACCAGTATGTCATTATTGTGAGCATGTTAATAGGTCTCTAAAAAGATTTGTTTAATATCAGCAAAATACTAAATAAAAAAAATTTAAAAATGGCTTAAATGTAATTTGGCAAAGTGATATTTATCCATTATTTCCTAATTAAATGTATTTTAGTCTGATGTACTTTGTTAATGTTATGTGTAGAAAGCTTCTAATTTATTACAGATTCCGGAGTCTACTTTCAGCATTTATAAGTTTTTTACATTTTTTACTTTAAGACCTGCAGACCAAATACCACAGAATGGCCTTAGAATAAAATGGGAAATGTGATAAATATGAATAAAGTCAAAAGTTTCTTCAAACAAAACATTGAAATTCATATCCTTACCAATGGCAGCTTTCCCCCATAATTCAATATTATGTATTTTCTGTGATGGGAGTTTTTTCACTGCACCAAGCTCCAACTGGCGCCATGGCAACATGCTGCCATGATGACTGTTGCCATGAAGTGCCTGCTTTTCAACATCTGACAATCTGAACACTGGGGCCTGGAAAGGGGGTCTTCTCTGTCCACCTTTTTCATTCTCAAACTCCTCCCCCCACGGGTTCCAGTTTTCTTCTTTGCTCTTTGCAGAGAGCCTTGTACCACTTAAAGCTGGAAAAAAGTAGTATATCAAAATTAAATAAATCAGTCTGGGACGTTAGCCACTGGTAGCTTTTTCAAAATGCCAAAATGTGAGACAACTGGCTGTCAGTGGTGCAATCTATCATGTATTAACTTAATGTCAAGGGGACAAAAAGTGTGAATGTGATAATGAATACAACAGAGAGACAAAGAGAACACTGAAATCTAGAGTCATGGAACAAAGAGACAGAGTTGGTGGTGGTGGTGGTGGTGGTGGGGGGAGACAATTTATCTCTCATATGGGACAGCACTATAATTGATACACTAGTAAATATTGCTCAGCCTCAAGTAGTAACCCACACTATGACTGAAGAAGGTCACTGTCGTGATCGAAAGCTTTGTTTGGTACAGCGCTATATTTTGTAGCAATTGAACAGTTTAAGCGTACAAAAGAACCTGAATTAAAGTTTTAAACTGTACTTTTAATACTAGTACTGAAAAAAAAAAAAAAAACATTCGATGGTCTTCCCCCTACCAAATTTGATCCCATTTTGGAAAGCTGTATTTTCTGCTTTTCTTAGTGTTTTCTGCAGCCATAAATACGTTGTGTAGCAGGTAAAGGCGACATAAATGCAAATAATTCCCTGAGCAAGCTTCTTAAGCGAGCACCTCATTCCGCCATCATGACGCGACCAATCCAAAGCTACAATTGCAGGTATCAACAAGTATCAACAAAGATTTCTAACTTAAGTATGTGATTTTACATTTGTTTAACTAAACAAAAACCAATTTCCTTATATTTTAGATAATCTAATTACATGCAAAGGGCAGAATTTATCGAAAAAAATCATGTTATTATCTCGAGGTAACAAGGTAGCACCGATACAACTACTTATCTCTCATTATCGAGATGTCGGTTTACTCCACGTGACCACTTCGAGATTTGCCATAGTCAACATGTCTGCGCCCATCTCGCCTGTGGTGGAGGCCTCCTCCAGACAGGATTTGTGCGAAATTGAAGCCACAGTAACCAGCGGATTTGAAGTCGTAGCATTGCAAGATGCCGTCGAGAAGTTGGGCTGTAAAGTCGTCAGAGGAAGAGGCAGGATTTTTATTCACATCCCTGTGAAGCAAGCGGAAAAGGTATCGTTATCGCGACCGTGTTTTGGTTGTGAGCGCTGCCGTTTTCCCCGTCATTCTTTTGTCCCGAATGATTTGTAATGGATTTTACCCTGTTTATTAATGCAGTTATAGGATGATGTGAATGGCTTTTATGTTGTGAAGACTTATTTGTTCTTTGTACCTATTTAGGAAGGGTTTAAGTCGGCTGGTAAAAGCCAGACATAAGCCAGACACTATTACGTAACACGCGTGGCGTAACTGCCCTCATTTACGTCTGGTGTATTGATTCTCAAGATGACGGATTTAAATTGAAGTGTTAAATAAATAATGGCGGAAAAAGGCAGAATTCAAGGTAAATAGCGACTATGGGATAAGAAATACGTAAAATATGGAAGGCACGTTCGTTCATTTAACGGTACTTACATACTAGCACTACCAGTATAGGAAGCAGATATGGCAATTGTGATACCATACTGGCAGGTCGTAATTTGAAGACGGATGGATGAAAAATTCATCCGGGGAGAGTTATATTGTACATTTGACCATTTTGAGAGCTTTAAAATACTGTAGAATATTTATTAAGCATTTACCTGTAGCTTATACTGTGATTAAATGTTTTAGTGACCTAATTTTGTTTCATTAAATAAAAGATAAGTCCTTTAAAATGATAATTTTTCTGTTAATTACAATTTACCCCGCAGATTGAGAGAAATATGGTGACATTGTTCAGTAAAGACTTATAGACTTTTCATCATATAATAATATGTAATGCTGCTTAACACTAATTCTAAAAGTAAAGGTAACTGGTTTTCTTTCTAAAATTCTGAAAGCAAGATTTTTTTTTGCAAGTTATTTGTCAGTATTCCAATTTTGATGATTTGCTTGTTATAGATAAATATTAGAGTGATGATGATATTTGCAAGTTATATACTCAGCATTTATATTGATGTTATAATTTAAAATAATGAAAGAATCACAGTCTTGTAAAAGTAACTGCTTTATAGTTTTATTAACAAATGAAAAAATTAGTTTTGTTCTGTTCTTAGAAAACAAGTGACCTTAAAGTCATTTATGCTAATGTCTTTGCCTTGAAAGCTTTTTCGACATAATGGTCAGCAAAATTTTGTAAGAAAAATAAATGAAAATAAAAAAATATATATAAAGGTTCATTTACAAATGATATAACAACCTCTGATAATGTAAGACATTTTCAAATGAATAATCCAAACATTGATTATATCCAGCTCTGTCCTATTTAATTTTATTACTATTTCTCCTTTGGTTCAACTGGAAAAAGTACAAAAAAATTCTATAAGATACTATCTTGCCTTCAAGGGAAAATTAATAGGGATAAAATATAGGTTGACAAATCATGATATTGTTTGATATCTGTTTGTTTCTAGGGGACAGTGCCAGCATGCACATTGCTATTTAATTATATTTGATGTAATTTGACATAGGGTCATGTGTTAGGTCATAATGTGTGGAAATGATTTCAAACTTCTTATTATAAAACTGCAGGTGTGTGTGTGTTGATTGTAATAGTATATTCTAATTTTGGTCCTTCCAGGTGATTGCATTGTTTTGATTACTCCAGTGTTGCTTAATCTGCACTGTACTGAATGACTCCAGATCTTCAGGTTTAGCCACAGGCTAAATATGTTGTTGTAAATAATTGTGTATCTGTAGGCTTTCTAGTACATACTTTATATAAATATTATAATAGTCAATTATTTGAGGGACGTGATTTTATTATTTTAAATGTAGATAGCGTTAGTTGAGTTCATTGATTGATATTATGGAGTGTGCTATAAGTAATCTTCTACAGGAAAGTCCATGTTTGCCACTGGCCCTGTACATTTTATCTGTAATACATGATGTCAGGGAAAGATTGCTTATTTTTAATTCTCATCAATATCCTGTATGCAGTCCTTTAACTTCCTAATGCTGATGCTTCAAAAATATGATATATATATATACCCTTATTATATATATATATATATATATATATATATATATATATATATATATATATATATATATATATATATATATATATATATATATCAAGTCAAGGAAAGAGGAAAGATGAGCAAAAGATATTATGTGTCTTGGGTTACATCTAATATTGAATTGATCATAATAATTAAAAATATTTTATTTATATATTTATTTCACAGGTGCTACAGCTTGGGGGTGTTGATAACTTGTATGTGGTAGTGAAACGATACGAAGATTTCAACTTTTCAAAGGACCAGGTTTGTGTTTTTTTTTCTTTTTTTTTTAATTTCTGAGTCACCAAGAATTAATAATGAAATCAAAATTATTAAAGTGATGTCAAATTTGTAAGTTTTGGTACCCATTGAACCTTAACTTGATGTTATATTCATGCAATTATAACAATTATTAAACATAAGACTTTTTTTTTGTGTGTGTGTGTGTGTGTTTACTTTTATTTATGTTTATACAAAATCACCCATAATGACATAAGTGACACAGTTGCAGAATTACAAACTTAAGGAATAATGCAACATGTCCTACAGCCCAATATACACAGTAGCATGCTGTGTGATAGCGAGACATTCTATTCAATTTGTGTATATTGGTCTAGGAGACAGCAGTGTATTATTTGTCAGACATGCATACATATACATACAAAGGGATATCAGGCCCGTAGCCAGGGGGAGTTCGGGGGGTTCGAAAGAACCGCCCCTTTTGCCGGGAAAAAGTCCACTCTGGGTAAAATTTGATCTAGGTACATGAAGTTTTTATGGGAAAATGTCCATTTCAGAAAAAGAACCCCCCTTTTGAAATTGCTGGCTACGGGCCTGGATATTGTACATGCTTTCCACCCAAACACCCTTATTTTTAATAGAATATGCAGATATCAAAGAATGGATATCAGCCCAACAGTAGATATTAAGGCTTAGCATATTTCAAAGTTGTTATACTGTGCACTTTATTTTACCCAGTGACCATAAATGATGAAATGACTTGCCACCAGTAAATATGAATTGTCAGCGATGATTGAGGGAACAGGCAAATTATCACGTGCATGGACAGCTTGTTGTGGATTTGACATATTAATTGCAATAATCAATAAGTTGGAACTTGCATAAGCAACACAAGAGTGACTGCCTTTAACGTGGTTCAGAGCTGAACTGAATAATGAATGTAATGTGAACTTATATAATACATATAGCAAGTAATTTCCTGGTGTTTGCTAGTTGGGGGTCATGAAGATCTGATCAATATTTCTGTTAAAGGTACATATGAACTGAGTGTGGATTCCCAGTAACACATATAAACCACTTCTGCTACGTAGTTTCTTATACGTCTTAAATAAATTTGACATGCCAAGGGATAAACTAAATAAATTACCCGATCAACCATAAAAGAGCTTTTTAAAAAGTTTTGGTTGTAAATTTAACCTTCTTATCTGCCCCATTTACTGACAACATACTAGTAGAAATTAAGCTAGCATAAAAATTTGTTCAAATATTATTTATGGTAATATTAAACAATGTGTTTTGGTGATTCTCTTGGTTATACTATTTGAAACTATAGATATGTTGGTCAGCTTAAGTGGCAAAAAATTGACTTCATATGCTGTCTGTTGATTGCTTGGACAGTGGTTGAATTTTAGAAAAATTCCCTTCCTTTTTGTGGCAGAGGATATTTATTTGTTTATTTTAATGAAATAGATAAGAAAGCTAAAATCTGAGAAACATGACAATAGATGAATTTAATGAAAAATGGAAAAAGCTGCAGCNGTGTGTGTGTGTGTGTGTGTGTGTGTGTGTGTGTGTGTGTGTGTGTGTGTGTGTGTGTTTACTTTTATTTATGTTTATACAAAATCACCCATAATGACATAAGTGACACAGTTGCAGAATTACAAACTTAAGGAATAATGCAACATGTCCTACAGCCCAATATACACAGTAGCATGCTGTGTGATAGCGAGACATTCTATTCAATTTGTGTATATTGGTCTAGGAGACAGCAGTGTATTAATATTTGTCAGACATACATACATACAAAGGGATATTGTACATGCTTTCCACCCAAACACCCTTATTTTTAATAGAATATGCAGATATCAAAGAATGGATATCAGCCCAACAGTAGATATTAAGGCTTAGCATATTTCAAAGTTGTTATACTGTGCACTTTATTTTACCCAGTGACCATAAATGATGAAATGACGTGCCACCAGTAAATATGAATTGTCAGCAATGATTGAGGGAACAGGCAAATTATCACGTGCATGGACAGCTTGTTGTGGATTTGACATATTAATTGCAATAATCAATAAGTTGGAACTTGCATAAGCAACACAAGAGTGACTGCCTTTAACGTGGTTCAGAGCTGAACTGAATAATGAATGTAATGTGAACTTATATAATACATATAGCAAGTAATTTCCTGGTGTCTGCTAGTTGAGGGTCATGAAGATCTGATCAATATTTCTGTTAAAGGTACATATGAACTGAGTGTGGATTCCCAGTAACACATATAAACCACTTCTACTACGTAGTTTCTTATACGTCTTAAATAAATTTGACATGCCAAGGGATAAACTAAATAAATTACTCGATCAACCATAAAAGAGCTTTTTAAAAAATTTTGGTTGTAAATTTAACCTTCTTATCTGCCCCATTTACTGACAACATACTAGTAGAAATTAAGCTAGCATAAAAATTTGTTCAAATATTATTTATGGTAATATTAAACAATGTGTTTTGGTGATTCTCTTGGTTATACTATTTGAAACTATAGATATGTTGGTCAGCTTAAGTGGCAAAAAATTGACTTCATATGCTGTCTGTTGATTGCTGACAGTGGTTGAATTTTAGAAAAATTCCCTTCCTTTTTGTGTCAGAGGATATTTATTTGTTTATTTTAATGAAATAGATAAGAAAGCTAAAATCAGTGCAAGTCTATTAGCACTTGTGTGAAGTAAAATTATTGGTCAAAGGAACAGCATTTTTATTTTTATTTTTTTATTTTTTTTTTTTTTTGCAAATGGTCTAGCCTATGGACTAAAGCCATCAGACTTCAAGACTTGGTATAAATTAAGTCTTCATTCATAAATACTAGATAAATGCAATAACTTTTTACATGATTGCATGGTTGAAAATTATTTGCAAACCTAGCATACATTGATACTGCAAGCAATGGGAAAGCACCCTGAGCTTCAGAGATAACTTGCCACTAACCTCTTCACTATAGCCTATCTTCATCGTGTCAAGTTACCTCTGACCACATTCGATAGCCCCCGCCGCCCGCCAATCAAATTTAAAGCCCGCACTCAATAACTCATTGAACGATCTAGCCAATGAACGCGAACGAGTCAAAGCGCGCTTTGTTCAAATCCGGACCAATCAAAGATAAGGCTGAATATCAGGGACTTGCCGTAACCTGTGGGCAGCACGCAAAATACATCATCCCTCAGTAGATAATGATGCAGGGCCTCAAACTGCTCTGGTTTCAATTCCGATATACTCATATTTTGCAAAGAATCAAGAGATAACTTAACACATTATTTTACGTAGTCACTCGTAGGAGACGCCATGCTTTCTTTGTGTACGGTTATGCACTCGGAACTACTCGGATGTCTCTGCACTCGACAATAACTTTGTTGTTAGTATGGAGCTTGCGGAATCAGCCGAGGATTGCTGATTGACGGTCAACCAATCAGCGTTTTCACCAAACTTTGGTGAAAAATTTTGAAACATGGATTTGATTGGCTTATATAAACTAGGTCAAACTATTTTCGTCAGAGGTAACTTGACACGATGAAGATATGCTATAGTGAAGTGGTTAGTGGCAAGTTATCTCTGAAGCTCAGGGTGTGGGAAAGTGTCTTTTACACGTTTTGTTTGTTGGTTTGTTTTTATAATTCAAATAACTAAATTTCTTTTTTTTCTGTATTTTAAAACAGGAAGAGGTAATGAAACAAATCAAAGGTATAGTGCCCGAAGTCAACTGGGAGTTGGGCCTCCACGTCTGGTCAAAGTTCATCAAATTTGCACACCAGGTGTCGCCACATCCTATAGACCCCTCAGCCTGCCAATCACAGATATCGATACAAAAACAACAACCAGTTAGCCAACCAAAAGTGATAATCCAACAGAAAAATGGGGACAAGGACTGCCTTAATTCTAAACAGAACAGCAATGTGACTGAAGTGGCCCCACACAGTGGCGATTGTTTCTTTTCCTCCAAACAGGACGATGCTGTTCACAGTGATACTGACCATTCTGTGATGGGGAAACCCACGTCTCAGTGTAGCATACTGACCACTAGGTTGAAACAAGCATTAAGGACCACTCCTTTAGACAACAGTGACGAACCTGCCGCCAAAAAGAAGAGGACTTTCAATCCGAATTTGCCCAAATTTCGGGCCACTTGTTACAGGACAGGGAATAATCATAGTTTTCAGTCGATGGAGGCTGCGTCCCAATTTGGAGGGACTATTCAGGATTATTTTGGATGGAACGTGGATCTGAAGAATCACGATTTGGAAGTGGTTCTGAATATAGCAGATAATGACGTATATGTCACCCTTGGGCTGACCACGGAAAGCCTGCACAAGAGAAATATTGTGGATTTTGGACCCACCACACTAAGGACAACTATAGCTTATAACATGCTACGGTAGGAAAAATATGTTGTTTTATGCACAGTTTTCTTTGTTAACTGCCTGAAATAATGCTGAAGCAATTGATACTGCAAGCTTGTGTAGACATTTTAATTTCTTATGAAGAAATTCCATTATATGTATGTGTGTAGTTGTGTAACTGCAGTTTCAAAATGTAATTTTTTTAAAGTTATCAGTCTTTTCCTTCATGCATTTCACATTGTTTCATGATGTTTTTTTCTTTAAGCTTTTGAGAAAGTTTGAAAAATGTTAAATCCTTTTTATTATGTTACAAGACTTACTAGTAGGTGCATTTTACAGTGATTATTACCTAACAGTACATGTCACTTATAACTACATAACTAAAGCTATTATATGGTAACAGTTTTAAAGTAAAAGTACAAAAAGACTTTTGAAAAAATAATGAATGACAATGGGCACAATTTATACTTAAAATTTATTATGCAAAGCAATATTGACACAATTTGATTTTGCTCATGTATAAGAAAATTATATCAAATTGTTTCTTTCCAGATTATCTCATATCCTGCCTGGCGATGTTGTTTGTGATCCTATGTGTGGGGGTGGCTCTATATCTATAGAGGTATGTGATCCTATGTGTGGGGGTGGCTCTATATCTATAGAGGTATGTGATCCTTTGTGTGGGGGTGGCTATCTATCTATAGAGGTATGTGATCCTATGTGTGAGGGTGGCTCTATATCTATAGAGGTACGTGATCCTGTTTGGGGGTGGCTTTATATCTATAGAGATGAAAAATGAGGAATTTGAATTCAAATTTAATTTACTAGTTTTGTGGAGAAACACTTTTACATTCCTATCTCAAAATCTACAAAGAGGGACATTGGTTTAGTATATTTGATGCTGTTACTAGGGCATCTATGTACTTTTGAATCTTCACTTACTTTGTTTACTACCAGGTCTTTCATTTTGATAATATATTTTAGAGTATGATATTGGATTTTACTACTTCTTATAGGGTGCTGTTAACTGGCCCAATGCTTACCATATATGTGGTGGCATCTATATTATCTTGTCCTTCAGGGTGCTGTCAACTGGCCCAATGCGTATCATATATGTGGTGACAACCATGAGAAGGCCTGGCCTAGATGTCAGCAGAACCTGGACTTTGTCCGTGAGAAGAGGAGAATGAAAGGAAGGTAGGGTATATTTACAAATTTAAATTTCACCTTTATTTTTTTTTTAATCAATCACGAGGAAGTGGGATGCTGTGTGGCCGATCTTTTCAGAACCTTTTTGGAAAGTTGAAACTTGTGTGTTTAAATTCAGCATTAGAAGAAAAAGATAGGCAGTGTTTTATAGTTTTCTCTGTAATAAGTCCCAGTTGTAACCACCTGAAATATATTAATTTTCTGGATTTTTGGATTTTTAATTACCTGTTACCTACCTACTCCATGTCTATACAGGTGCATAAGGCTGAAAACCAAATAAAAAATTTTTACATGAACTTACTTTTCAATATTAATAAGCAAGGGGAAATAAAAAAAATTATATTATTAACTAAAGATAACTTTTAAAATCAGGTCGTCAGCTACCTGTGATGTGATGAAGTGGGACGTGACTAACCTACCTCTACGAGATAACACAGTGGATGTCTTTATTACAGACTTGGTAAGTTGGTTCTTGTTTATTAATTTGTTATTTATTCATTTATTACAGTTGCAAGTCTTACTGTTTTAAATCATGAAATTACAGCGAGGGTTGGTCATGTTGTGGAAATGTTTTCTGTCACAATGGTGATTTATTTATATTTTCTCCTTTGAACATCCACTTGTTAAGCAGTGTCTTTAAGTCAGCCACTATGGCACCTTTTTTTTTTTCAGCTCTACTTTTACATTTTTTGTTCAGTGTAAATGCCTTTATAGTGTATGTTGATTATCCAGTAACATTCTAACCAAATCTACACTGATTAAAGCAAAATGCACTGTTGTTGTAATTATTATAAAAACTATGCATGTTATGTTATAAACTGGATATTAATAATGGAATTTTCTTTCCTCATTTCAGCCGTTTGGTAAAAGGTAAGATAATAATTTGTGAGTAAGATTGCATTAGAGTTCCAATATCAGTTTTGACTTAACTGGGTATTTGCTTTCACAGAAAAAATAAATTACAATATTTGTCTTAAAAGAAAAAATTTAAAAGCAGCTATGATGCAGTAAGTATGATATGCTAATGCAAGAACAAGACAGTGAATACTGTTTTACATTTTGTCAGCTACACCCTATATACCACATGCTTTGTTTGCTTATATGTAACAATTAATGGTAGCTGGGGCAGTGGGGAACCACTATATACAGGGTGGTGAATAATTGCTGTGCTGCACTTCTGCATCAAAAATTATATGTATAAACATCAGTTATTTTCACTTCAGACTGGGCTCCACTATGGACAACAGAGTACTGTACCCTAAAGCATTAACTGAGATGGCCAGAGTGTGCAAACCTAAGACTGGGAGAGCCTGTCTGCTCACACACGACAGGAGGAGCATTGCCAAGGTGTGTGTGTGTGTGTGTGTGTGTAACTGTGTGTGTGTGTGTGTGTGTGTGTGTAACTGTGTGTGTGAGTGTGTGTGTGTGCGTGTGTGTGACACTCACTGACTGCTAGGTGGTATAGTGGCCAGGAACCTCTTATAAATGATGTCCATTGCTCACATCAGTCTGATGAAGGCCTACATTCAGGTTGGCCGTAAGCTAACAGTGTGAAAGTTTTTTGGCTTGTGTTTGATAATTTTCATCTATGAAGACAAGATCTGTTGCAAAGTAACGAATGCATGAGCTTAATTAATTTTTTTTATTATGTTTTAATTACTATGTATTTTTTTTCATTTTTATTTTTTTATTTTTTTTTTTTGTGTGTGTGAGTGCGTGTGTGTGTGTGTGTTAGAGAGATGGAAAGGTCTGTTGCATATGTGTGAGCGATATAATAATTAATATCAGTAATCAAGTCTTCCTTGTCCACCCCCAGGCCATGCAGGCAGTTAGTCACCTGTGGCACCGAGGCATTGTACTGTGGATCAACATAGGTGGACTGGCTGCTGGGGTCTACATGCTGCACAGGAACGCTGATGATGGAAAGAAGGAGAGAAAGGAGGCGAGGGGAGGACAAAACAGTGCTGCAGGACAATGAGCAGCAGAGAGAGGACAGCTTGGCTGGTTTATTAATTAAAGAACGAAGAGAAATAAAGTAGTGTAGAAGGTACATGTGATGTACGTGCTAGTGACAGTATAAACTGCTGTTTTTAAAACCATACTCAGTAAGTTAAACAATGGTTAGTCACAAGGGACATTTTTGAAGTTTTGAGATTTTTTAATCGTGGTATAGGATAGGTAGGTAGGTAGGTTGAGTTTTTAATCATGGTACAAGATATAGCATTGCCCATATACTTGTACTTTGTAGTCTTTAGTTAGTGAAGTTCAAAATGAGCAACTTTAAAAAGTAATTGCTTTAACTACCTTCCAGTGGTAAAATTTAAGGTATCTCCTATAGTACAAAGTACTCTAATATTCTAGGCTTGACCCAAAAGATAAGGATCAAGTTCAGTATTTTAAGATGGGAGAATTATCATATTTTTCTTGATTAAGGTCATATTAAGTATGACAGGTTGGTGGCCATCAGGATCCACAAAGGTCCTCTATTTCATTCATCTTCAAGATGTCTGGTTTTTAATTTTTTTTTTCAGTTTAAAATTTCCATTGATAATTTTTAAGTTACATTTATAGGGTGTGAGTTTGGAAAGGCAAATTGTGTCATATATCAGCTGTAAACTGATGTGTGTTTAAGTTCCAGACAGATATTGCTGAAAATTATTATTTTTCATTAAGTTTGGGGACGTTCATGGCATACACACCATTAGACTGTTGTCCTCTACTTAATTTACCTACCTGTATATCAGTTTAGTACAGAACACTCGTGTGTTATAAAATTTTTAGTTTGTTGAAGTAATTTGTGGAGATTTATGGATACTGATTGAAAAGAATAGCTAGTTATAGCGACCTGTTGCCATAGCATGGATAAAAATTCCCCACCCCCTTTTTTTAATAAAATTAAATCCCTTTAAAATATTTTTTTTCTGAAAGGAAAGAGGGGTATTGAGCTATACTGACTGAATTGTTTACACAGGTTTTTATTTAGTTCAGAAACAAAAGTTTCTTGCGCCCCAAAAAATTAAGTAAGCACTGTGAAAAAGATTATGCCATAATGAAACAGCAATGCCAAAAGAGAGAGAAATAAGTTATTTTTATAAAACTTGGTTTGATGTAGTTTGTTTTGGATGTGTGAAAAATTAAGAATTGAAAAAAAAAGAGTCATTTATAACTAACTTAGTATTCAGTTATTAGCTGGGGCTAGGGTCTCAGTGATTATTTTATTATTCAACTGAATAATACCAAGATAGCATCAAAAGTTTCAAGACCATTGTCAGCAAATATTGTTGTCATTTGAATGATTGCATGTTTTTCAATTTCTCTGATTGGTAAAAAAAAAATCAATTACATCATTGATCAGGATGTGTACAGTGATGAGGTCATTGGTCAATTATTGTTTCATCTGACCTCATTTTCCTCGATATATGATCATATTCTATGTTGATTATTATAAATAACATATGTTGTACTTCATCCTTGAAGGTGGAGATAGAATGCTTAATGAGGTGGACCTTAACTCTAAATTGGGAATATTTCATGTAGATAACCGTTGCTGCTTATGGCAAGTTTCAGTGTTTACTCAAAAACTCACAACCTAGAGAAGGGCAGAATGTTATCTCGCATCTTAACTCATTTAACCCAGCGTTCATTTTAATTTTTTAATCTTAAACTTTTCTAGGCAGGAAGATTTTTTGGGACATGTAATTAGTTAAAGAATGCCATTTTTTTGTGATTAGTTCAAGGGATTTTTATTTATTTGTTTATTTATTTATTTAATTAATTAATTTATTTATTTTTTAGATTGGTAAGCCAGGTGAGTGGTTGAAAACCAGAATTAAAACAGCATTTTCTAATTTAAAGCTCAATTGAGTGATGGTTGAGTTTCACTGTAGAATAGACAGAAGGAAAAACTTAACATTTCTCTTAATTATGCATATGAGCTATTTAAGTATGCTTATGGGCGGGGGGGGGGGGGGGGTTTAACTGATTTAGTTGAGAATTGTTCGATTCATCCAACATGTAGCTGTTAATGTCTGTATGTGCCTTATCTAGTCTTGTTATATTATGATATTTAATGATATCTGATACCTCAACAAGTGGATATACACCAAGTTTTCTTTTAATTGCATGCTTTTAATTAAATTGTGTTGGAAGTTATCAATATTATATTTAAATCAGGTCATTGTAGTGCTCAGACAGTATATTTGAAATTATGACACATTAATACATTCTATTTTAAAAAGAGATCAGTTTCTCTATAATAGGTCTTACTAGTAATAATATTTTCAAAAGTTGATTTAATCATTCGATTTGTTTTGTACCCAAATGCATTCAAAGAACTGTGTTTTGTCTTTTTGAAATTGATTGTCATATTTTATTTCATGGTCGATAGCATGTACTTAGTGCATGTAAAATGTTCATAGAAATAAATGCAACTTTCTTAATTGTTGCATGAAAGAACGTTTTGTGAGTTTGTTTCTCTTTGAAAATGGATTGACGCTTAGGATTTGAAGAGGTTGTAGTGGCTGTGAATCTATGGGTCATCCAACAGCTTATATTTTGTAGAAAAAAATAAAGGCGAATCCAGTTAAATAATACTTCTGTTTCAACGATTGTAAATGATTCACTCCAGCGCGTGATTAAAAAGATTATCTGGCGCGTTCGATGTGTGTAAGGCTGTGTTCAGATAAGTTTTATCGTACCAGCAGGATCGATCTATCTATTCGGAGATTCTCGTTAAAGTGCACCCCGTCTAATCAACTTGATTGGGCGTCCGCAGAAAATATTCCAGTGGGGGTCAAAGTCATTGAAGGGGGAGTTAATGATTGGCTGGGTACCCGCAATTAACGTGCCCGCCAAAATTCCAAGTGACCCCATAGACCCCCCCCCTGCGGACGCCCATGTCCACTGCTGTCCTGCCTACAAACGGCAAAGAAAAAAGGGAGATTTTATTACAAGGTCCTCAGGGGAACCGGAATATTGCGTCAACTGAATTTTCGGGGATTCCCCGTCGTCGCCTGCTGCTGGTTGATCCCCCACGACCAGGAAGAAACGCGTCTCAGATCAATTACAAGGTACGCTTATGCACTGCCTGTTCTCTGCAAAGAGAGTTGTTTACGCGATTTTCAACAGTAGGGCTATAGCTATATCGAGTTAGCAACGAAAATAACTACGAGGCACTTTATATTTGATGGCATTTGCTGGAAAGCTGTTGAATAGGCCCTATGATTATTTATCTTTAGTGTCCATGACCATTGGGGGTTCCCCTTCTTTCACCCGTCTTAATCTGAGTATTGGAATTTCCATTACGTCCGGACGCCATTTTTCGCCTGGTTTCACCTTCTTTGTATCAGACTGGCAAGTGAGGTCAGCGCGTTTTGATATACAACAAATATATAATAGTAGGGGAGCCAAACTCCAAAAGCCTTCAAAAAAGGGTAGTAAAAAAAATTTAATGATATAAAATTTTCGAACATATCGTTGGAGAGCCTGATACCTGGGGTTTATGAATCTGCTTATTGGACAAATGGGCTCAATTGCGAAAGTGCCCAAAAATCCAAGATGGCCGCCAGCCATGGTGAATGCACAGAATAAGCATCAATTATGAAAAGTGATTAATATTATTTATTTGCTAGAGTGTAGATTACTTTTATTGTGTTTATATTGTGGAAATATGCCCTTCCTGGTGATCTGTTGCAATAATTTGTCAATTAGATTCAAAATGGCCGCTTCATCCAAGATGGCGGACAATATTTCACTAATTTTTGCAATTAAGTCATGTTTTCTTCAATCTAGAATTTATTTTAATCATGACATAAGCAAACTGTCATCACATATAGCTTTTCTAGAATATTTTTCACATTTCTGTTGTCTGTATGCACTATGGAGGCTTTTTGATTAAGAGAAAAATCCAATATGGCCGCCACACACCCCTCACCATTATGAGTCAGAAGCACAATGTATATCTTTTTGAAAGTTGAAATACCTTATTAAATGAAGTATATTTCATTTTTATTTTACAATATGCAGGTAAAGGTCAACTGTTTTAAATTTTAAAGGTAAATTTGAGATGGTGTCTTGACCCAAGATGGCTGCTTTATTCAAGATGGCGGCCAAAGATTTGCCAATTTTTGCAGTGGAGTCATGTTTTATTTAATCTAGAATTACTTTCAATCATGATAGAAGCAACACACCATCAAATATAAATTATGTACAGTATGACCTGTATTTCCTCTCTCTGTTCAGTATGAAGCTTTATGATTAGAAAAAAATCCAACATGGCCACCATGCACGCGACCGTTATGGCCCAAAGGTGCGAACAGCATGCACCTTATTTGCAAGATTAAATATCTTCTTTAATGAAGTATATTTCATGTTTCCTTGCAGTTTATTGGTAAAGGACAATTGTTTATTTTTAAAGGTAAAGCTAAGACCATATCTTTTTTCAATATGGCTTCTTTATCCAAGATGGCTGCCATTATTTTAACAATTTTCGCAACTGAGGCACACGTTATATAATCTAGAATTATTTCAACCACGGTAAAATGCAATATTTCAAGAAATATAAATTCTCTTAAATATTTCCTACATTTTAATATCTGTAAAGAATATGATTAGGCCTTTTTCATTAGAGAAAAATCCAATGTGGCTACCTTATACCCCTTACCATTACAAATCAATGGTACCATGTGTACTTTACTGATAGTTGCAATCTCTAATTTAATGAAGTATATTTTTCGACATCCAACACTTGTCATTTCAAGATGACATGTAATGTACTTTTTATATATATGGAGTGAATGTCATAAACTTTAAAAATTTAGGATGCTTAATTCAAGTGTGGGCTTGAAATAGGACATTGCAATTTCGACTAACTTAGTGGATAATGCAATCTAAAGATTCCACGCTTCATGTCAGATTTACATAAGGTCGCACAAAGAAAACCCAAGTCCACATAATGACCAGTTAAACGATTTATTCGTTGACGTTTCTAAGTCTCCAACTCCTAACTTCTTGAAAAAACATCTGCTCCGTCTTTCCAAATCTCCTCTCCTCTTCTCCTTTTCTCTTCCAAAGGTATCAATTCTCATCGGAACAGGTTACATCATGTGGCCTCATTAAATATCTTTTTTATCTTGATATCGGACACGACAGGCATGTATGTTACTATAATGTTGCCATGGAACATTACTTTTAACTTAACAATTAATATTAAGTTGGGCCTATTTAGATGATGTGGACCTTTAAAACTTGATTTCAGAGGTAAAACAGGCCTAGGATTACAAACAGATGTTTTCAATTTAAAGCGCCTATCTAATGAAGGAATAATTAATTGAATTTTTTTCTTGTATGAATTTTTTGGATCACAAATTTTAAAAAAATGTGGAATGTTCATCCATCATTCCTGCCAAGCTCTCTCCAACTATAACATGTTTCTACACCTCTGGATGCTGTCCTGACAGTTATCTTTTGGAAAAAGGCTTGGAGAAGCTGATGGCCATACCAAACTTACCATGTTGTTAGCACATTTGTAGTTCTCTGCGGGGGCATGCCTTTTTTGTCCATAAAAATGAGTTGCTATTAGATGTACAACCTGAATATGTAGGGACACTACATTGAACAATACTTTTTCCCTGTATCTAGCACTGTTAAAGGGTCATAGAAAAACAACCAAGGACAATCTGTGGTCATGTGTGTGCCTATCTCTTAACATTATGAATCCTCCACCATCCTGCTGCCTTGTAAGGATACAATATCTTCCACAGGTTTCACCAGTTCAAATCAGCATAGTAGATACAGGGACAAGATCCACGTGTCCAAATAATACATCTCGAGTACCTTATGTTATGGTTCCTTCAGTCTAAGATCT